CTTTTGACTCATAGTTCAGATGCTGTATATTGATTTCCACTAGAATAGTTCAATCTCCGCGTCCTTTAATTAGTAAAGATTTTCCACAGGATGGTAGATGGTCGCCCATTCGAAATCAAGGACTTAGATAAACTGTCAGTGTATCTGACGCGATTCTGAGTTAAATTGTACTATGTGCCCCCGGGAAAAAACAAGTTTCATCACTATGTTGTTCTATGCAGCTTTTCTTGGGGGCATTCACAAAGAGAAAGCCTTTTCAGGTTTCTGTTAAAGAGTTGCTGTTAACACTAGTCGAGTTTTGTTTCTAACCTGAGCTGTAATACGTTGTGACCTAGCTATGGACTTAGCGTGTAGTCATGTCTTTGGACTTTGTGAAGCTGCTAGTTTTTAGGTGGGCACTCGGGGTTGAAGGGCGGGGGCGGTTTGCTGCTCAGGAGAACAATGCCTTTGCAAAACTGACCCTGCCTGAGGGTTTACTTCTAGGAAAAGTGTATCTAGGTTGCCCTCATGGGAAATAAGGCATGATGACAGCCTTCTTAAAAGTTAAGTCCCTGTGATTGGTCGCTAAAATGCCTTCATTCTGTACAGTATCCAGGATATTAATTGTTATCAAAGCAGGCAGATATGCATTAAAAATTTTGTCCACTATGAAGCACAGTGTTAATTTAATAGTTGATGTGGTGAAGGCTGCAACTGCTTGGTCAAGGATACATTGTTAAAAAGTTACCTTGCAGCTCTGTGGGAGGGGTGGTTCATGTCGTAGCCATAGCTTCTGATGAAGGCTGCATCCAGAAGGACTCGGAAATGCCTCCCAGCCCGAATCGGGATGCACACATTATATTTTCTCCCCTTGCAAACCCTCATTTTGTTCACGGATTGTGGTTCCTGATCAGTTGGTGACTAGTGACAGGAAGAATGTATAAAATACACCCGTACAGAAACAGGCGGGAGTTCTCCACATTGTGCTTCTCTCCAGGTTATTCATTTTTAATTTAATAGATTTAAATAGAGGTCACACTGGCACAGAATACTTCTACTGAATATGTTTCTTGGGAAGCAGCTTTATAAGGCACATGTTGATATCCCGAGATACAGAAGTAGAAAAAAGATTATATGAAAAAATAAGGGAATAGCTTTGATTTGTTTCATTATTTAAAAAACATAAAGATAATTAATATATGTATATTCCACCATATTAATGCATTTTTTATTTGATCCTCCTATTCAAAAAGAAAAAGGGTCTTTACTTGGAATGCAGTGATTTCAAGAGCAAAGAAAAAGAAGTGAAGCATTTACATAAATGAACATCTAATGATACTCTGAAGTTACTTCTCTGCTGAAATAAGTGACATTATTATTTTCAAAAATATGAAAAGAGAAGTCCTGACCGAAAGACTTACTGCTAATTAAAGACCGATTTTTTTTTCATTAGCAATATAGTGCATCCTGGGAGTCTGACACCTTTGTTCTTGGGGTTCTGAAGAGCTTTTCTGAACTGACGCAAAGAGTGTTTACATTGGCAGATAAACTGCCGTACTTACGGGTCTGGGTTGTGGATGGCCTGGGTTTGAATTCCGGCCCTTCCACTTACAGTCTGTGGGACTGTGGCAAGTTACTTAGCTCCTTTCTACCTCAGTTTTCTCACTAAAATGGGAATAGTAATCACACCGTCCCTGTAAAGTGCTGGGAGGATGAAATGAGGTTGTACTTGTAGAATGCTCAGAACAATGCCTGGCACATAGTATGTGCTTTTCATATTAGCTTAATTATTGCTACAGTAAATACCACACGTGTTGTTTTATTTTTATTTCTGTTCAAAAAGTGTACGTTGTACTTGGCTACCTGCTAAATTTAATTAAAGGGGAAGTCAAAGTGAGCACTAGTGTTGTAGTTGCAAAAACAACCAAAAGATATAATAGTAACAAAAACCCCATGTTTTTTTCACCTCATCCCGTGTAGTTTTCAAGGTGGAATGTGAGAATTTTCATGCACCGTCTTTCACATGGTTTTGATTCTTGAGATTACTACCTTAAGAATGTCAGATTGCTGACTAAACGCAAATCAGAAGTTAAACTACTGTAAGTCGCACGCGCACCGACTGTTGCAACACTTATCAGGAGGCACCTGGCTGCTGAGTACAGGTCTTCTCACAGCTTTGGCCTTATCTCCGCCACCAAGCTGCCTTTTCAGGATGTCGTTTTTTAGTGCAAGATAAAGGTCCATGGTCTGTTATGTAAGTTTTTCCTTTCAGTATATTATTATCTTATATTTTGACTGCTAATTTTTGGCTTATTACTCGCCATTAAATTCCAGACCTGGGAGGACAATGGGTCATTTGGCATTTTATTTGGACTGCAGGATATAAAATTGTAGACCTTATGAAAATTTCAAATATGTAAGGCGAATGTGAGGGTGCTTTATGTCCTTGTTTTAGAACATGTCCCCCCAAAGTGTATCTTTTACAGGTAATAGTAAAGGTGATGTAGGCACTCCTTGGTCTTATTTGTAAACACTTTCTAAACACTTGATATGTTATTAAAGTGAATCAGAAGGTGATTTTTAAAAGACAGTTTATTCCCAGTATTAAAATATAGAAGTTTCAGAATCTTTTGGATTGTTTTACTCTTGTATTCTTTATACAGGAGCTACTAAGAGGTTAAGAGAAACTCACCTTGTGAGGCATTGAAATGGGTGCTTTTACATTAATTTTATTCAGCTTCCCAGGCTTAGCTTATAGATTAGATGCTTTGATACAGGACAGGTGCAGCACTTACTTGGAAAAAAGATGCCTCATGTTGTTTACTTACGCTGTTTTCATTGTTAATAGGCACCAGTGTCACCACTGGCTCAGTCTGTACTTTGGGAAACAGAACTTTTTGCCAGAAAGACTTAAAAGTCATGACTTCCAACAAAGGGTTTTGAGAAGGCCGATCTTTTATTTATTCCTGTCCTGTTAGCCTAGCCAGTAGTATTTTTTGTCCATTTTAATAGCCTTCTGAGTTAATGTTTCATAGGGTTTCACGGTGTTAATTGATTCAATGGATGTGTGTTGCGCGCGTACTGTTGTTTGCCGTCACCGCAGCAGGAGCTGGAAGGGCGCAGTGAACTGGGCATTTAGCAGATAGCTGCCAGGGAGGGAGCGTTACTGAATGAAAGTGTTTGTCAGGATGTGACTATTGTATACAGAACATTTGAATGACAGTTTCTAAAAGAGTAATACTTGAATTATTACTTTCCAAAGTGCAAGTAAAGATGAACAGATTTATTCACTATTTCAGGGAGTTTTGAATCATGTACACATATTGGGGTTATAATTTTATCCAGGATATATACAACAAAGGGGGTTTGACTATGTTAGATGTATGTATTAGCTATTTTCTGAAGTATCATAATACATCATGACAGTTACAATCTATATAGCTGCTGGAAGGTATGGCTTTTTCTTAATTTTTTTTTTGTTGTTGTTCAAGTATAGTTGTCTCCATTTCCCCCCCACAACCCCCCCCCCACCCCAGCCACCTCTACCTCCCACACTCAATCCTACCACTGTTATCTTTGTCCATGTATCCTTTATACATGTTCCTTGATGACCCTTCCCCTTTTACCCCCATTATCCCCTCCCCTCTGGTTACTGTCAGTTTGTTCTTTACTTCCATGTCTCTGATTATATTTTGCTCACTTGTTTGTTTTGTTGATTAGGTTCCACTTATAGGTGAGATCATACAGTATTTGTCTTTCACCACCTGGCTTATTTCACTCAGCATAATTTAGCTAATCCAGAAGTAGTATTTCCAAGAGGATAGCTCGAGATTAGAAATCACTGAATGACCTGATATGTGTGTACCTAAAGTAAATGAAAAGACGGCAGGCATCTGCTGACTGGGGCTGGCCTCAGCACTGCCGCGTCCCTCTGACTACCTCCGTGGGCTTGTGGCCGGTCAAGCTGTTTCATTTCTGACTTTAGATCGGATACTTGACGCCATCAGAATTTCTGCACCTTTGCTTACTAGTATCACCACTTGTAAACATGGGCATCTTCGTCATTCTCTCAGAAAAGCTCAGAGACCTTGAAACTAAAAAAAGTAAAATACTCCCACCGCTAACAGCAGCAATTAGTGCATGGTATTTCCAGCTGCTAACAGAATAGGTCTCAGAAGTAAGTTTGAGTCAGAATGACCTTTTGTTGCAGATGGGCCTGGCCTGACAGTGCGTGATCTTTGCTAGGAAATGACATTTGTAGGGCAGACCAACATTTCCACATGTTTGTTTCAAAAACACTGACATAGAAAGATGTGACACCCCCAACCCCCCCCAAAGTTGGGGGAGGTGATTCTGAACTTGAGTAAGTTAAGACATTTTTGTACACTATTTCCCCCTTGAAGAGTGGCAATGCATGCCCACATGTTACAGTCTCTGCGAAGCCCTACTGTGAAGAATATGTTTAATATTTTTAAATGTAACCTAGCCGGTCTTATTAAACACATGCCCTAACAAAATCCCGCAGTTGACCATTCTGCCTTTATTCGGGTTACTTTCTGCCACGATCCAGCTATTGGTGGCCAGTGAGTTGGGGACAGACCCTAACAGTCACAGGCCATTAGGTGCATCCTTATTAGCCTATTCTGTAAGAACTATGAGAAGAGCTCTTTGTGACCCATTTATGGAATATTTACATTGTTTAGAGTATACTCTTAATTTGAAATTTTGAAAAAGGCATGAGTTCCTTACTTCACAACCTTTGCTTGTCTGCACACGTGCTTCTATTCCTTACGTTAGGACTTAAAAGGTGGGCTATATGGAATGAGTAGAAACAGGTGAGCTTCTCGTGACTGGGCTGTGGCCTGGGTGACCAGTGTGCCTGCTGATGCATTGCTCCATGTTCTTGTGGCTTCTGCTTGCCCGTGACGGGACTTGTGAATGGCTTGTGCTTCCGGATCGTTGTGAAGAACCACGTTACACAGCAGTCCTTACAAAGTTATTTGTTTATTTGCTTTCTGCAGTGATGGAGAGGGGAGAAAAAGGACCTCGTCGACTTGCAGCAATGAGTCGCTGAACGCGGGCGGCACCCCAGTCACCCCTCGCCGAGTCTCCTGGCGGCAGCGCATCTTCCTCAGGGTTGCCTCTCCCATGAACAGATCTCCCTCGGCCATGCAGCAGCAGGGTCTGTGTGGTGCTCACTCGCGAATCATGCCTCACTGGCATCATAGACTGGGGAAGGGAATGCCGGGGTTTGTGCACAAGGAGGTGCCTGGATTACAGTGGGGAAGTAATGTCTCCTTCTTTATCCGATACTTCTCAGATATGAGTAGAACCTATTCGACACTCAGTAAATGCTTGTTGAATGAAGGAATGAATGAGTAAAGAAGTTTCCCAGACTGGGAACTATGATAGTGCTAGAAAAGCAGGTATTTTTTTAAAACTTTATTTATCTTGAAATTTAAAAGATTTATTGGGGTAACCTTGGTCGATAAAGCCAGGCTGGTTTCAAGTGCACAGCTGTATATAACACATCACCTGTACCCTGCCTCATGTGGTCGCTACCCAAAGTAAAGTCTCTTTCCACCTCCTTGCATCCCTCCTTTGCCCTCTTGCCCCTCCCCCCACCCCCTTCCCCTCTGGCAGTCACCATACTGTTGTCTGCGTCTCTGTGTTTTTTCCCCCTTGCTCTCCCTTCACCTTTATCTCCCAGCCTCACAGCCCCCTCCCCTCTGAGAGCTGTCAGTATGTTCTAGTCAATCACAGTCGACATTCAGCATAGTCATAGACCTTTTAGCCTTAGGAAAGCAATGTGCTCTCTCTTTTAAGAGTTGCACATAAAGCAGTGCCATAACGTGTTGGACAGTAAAGAAGAGAATGCAGATACACACGGCAAACATCAAGCAGTGAAGAGAGTCGGCAGCTCCCTTCAGTGTGAGGTCTCTTAGAAATTAAAGCAAGAGCATGCACAGGGGCAAAGTGGCTGTGACAGTAAACAAAAAGGTAGAACAATAATGAGAGCGCACATAAGTATGCAGACCTGGGAGCTAGAAAAATAACAGCATTTTTGGCAGAAATACATGAGTCAGTAGCTCTTGTGGGAGATTTTGCTATGTTCCTCCCTGAAAATTAAATATAGAGGAATTAAATAACAGATAAAAATTGAGAATAAAATTAAACAAGGGTACTCTACTGAGATTACCTTGCTACCTAGAGAGAAAACTCATTCTTAGCGCACAGGGAGCAGTCATAAAAATTAACTATGCACTTGGCAACAAAGATTTCCTAAGAAATTCCAGACGGTCACGATCATTTATACTATATTCTCTGATCACAGGGCAAATAATTTCACAAAAGAAAGAAAAATGAAGAGATAAAAGAAAGGAAGGAATCCACAATTAGAGGAAAACTAAATATTTTATGCACCTGAAAACTGAAAACTGCGGGAAAGTAGAAGGGAGAAGATATGACCAGAGGCCTGCCTGTCAACATCGAGTGATATTTAGAGGGCATTTCTAAAATTAAGAAAGCCAAAACTCAAATGTACTAAATAGTCAACTCAAGAAGCTAAAACAGGAACAACAGAGTAAAACATGTTTTTAAATTATTTACTAAGAAATAAGGGTAAAGATGGAGGTCAATTAATAAATTAAAAAAAGAAAACATTACTAAAAATAAAATTAACTGATCAGGAAAAGCTTCATGGAAAAGTTAGGTATTTATTTAAACTCATTGTCTAGACGCGTATGTTTCAGAAAGAGGAACTAGCAGAGCGCCAGAGTCATGGAAGGGAATTTTGCAGGTCAGAGAATCATGAGAAATGAAGCAGGGGAGCAGAGGACGGGAGGTGGAGACCAGGCTGGAAAGGTTACTTGAGGCCAGAGTCTGAAGGGATCTGTCTGCTCTCCCCAGGAGTTTGGACTTAGTTCTTTGGGGTATAAGCAACCATGGAACTGTTTTAAGAGACATAATCAAGTGTGTTAATGTGTCAAAAAAAAATGCAAGAGTACAAAAGATGGCCTGGAACAGAGGGAGAAAAGGAGCTCCAGGAACTGGGTAAGAGAGTGTCGCAGGGGGAGTGGAGAGGGCCGCTGAGCCTAGACACGCCCACAGCGGCTCTGCGTGAAGGATTCGTGAAGGATGTGGTGGTAGATGTAGCCTTGGGAGGTCCCGCAGACCGCCTCACACAGAGTTCCGTTACGCACAGTCAGGGGACACACGCAGGTCAATTGCAGAAGTGTTAAGATGCTGGGGAAAGGCCCATTTGTTTTGGAGCACCTGTCTGATAGGTCATTTCGTGCAGAAAGGAGAAGTGGTGAGATGGCCCACACTTTCATTTCGCGGCGAGAGGGAAATCTGGAAGGGGAATTCAGTCTAGTGAGTTTACTTAAACCATGAGTTCCAGAAACGAACAGTTCCCCGGAAAGTGGGTTGGTGCAGAGCTGTAAAAGCAGACTGTAGGATGAGAGTGCGTCGGCTCCGGAGAACGTTTCTGTAGTCTGGGTTACTGCTGCGGAATGCCTCTCACTGTCTTCTTCTCCGCAGATGGACTGGACAGGAATGAGCTGCTGCCGCTGTCCCCTCTGGCTCCCACCATGGAAGAGGAACCTCTGGTTATGTTTGTGTCTGGGGACGATGACCCAGAAAAAGTTGAAAAAAGAAAAAAATCAGAAGAACTGAGGAGTTTATGGAGAAAAGCTATACACCAACAAATTTTGTTGCTTCGAATGGAAAAAGAGAACCAGAAACTTGAAGGTTAGCCATTCAAACAGGGCCAAGTGATATGCTGCTTTGATTTAAGGTTGCAGGTTAGAACTGTCTTTCTGCCCTGCAAACTGACACGCATACTTGGACTGTATACACACTTTTACTAGACCATCTACTGATATTGTTTATTTGTTTTTGTGAAGTGGTTATGACATGGGAAAGTAGCTTAAGATATTTGCATTTTGGTTTTCCAGATTTAAAACATCAGGCACCCTTAGGGTATATTTGGATGATAGAGAGTGTAGATAAAATGGTAACACAGTGATACATATTTGATATGACTGAAATATCATTGTGCTTTAATTAAAAAAAAAACCTCTTAAACATAAAGCAAATTCTGTTCTTGTTGAATATGGTTTTCAACTTGGAGTCTAATTGTTTTTATAATAGGATAAATTGACTATTTCAAATTGTATCTAAATCAGCTATGTAATTAATTACATGTTATCGAATCAAAGTGTATATTTTACTGCTTTATACATTTTCTATTTAAAAGATCCTGTTTAAATCATTAAATTTATAATTGGATAATTTATAATAGCTGTTGTGCTGTTTATAGAGCTTTACCGCTAAGCTTATGAATATCGAATGCTTTAGAATGTTTTCCAAACTTGAAGTATTATTGTTATTTACCCCAGCACTGACAGACTCATACACAAGGAGACGTATCATCAGTGCCAATGTGTATTAATGCCATTATCTTTGGCAAATCACTTAACATAAAAGAGCCTTGCCTTTGACATTTGTAAAATGAAAGGTTTAGCTTAAGTGGGGCCTTTGACTTTTCAGAGTCTTAGAAACTGTATGGTTTGGGCTTTTCTCTGAGTTGCTTTGATTGTGTTGTCTTCCAAAAAGTTTTTCTAATACAGGTGTTAACATTTCTATGTTCATTATCTATCTTAAGATTCCTCTTAGTATACCTGTTACTCAGTTCAATTTTTAATTTCAACAATATTTAGTTTACAAGTGCAGTTTATTTTATTGTTATTTTTGTAGCAGAATAAGAAGTACTATAATTTTTCTTATTCCTGGGAAATAAATCTTTTCTTTAAAATAAATATGCAGTTAGTTGCTGTTGGCATAGCAAGTGCCCACTTGAGCATCCACAGATTTTGGAAAGGGATTGAATTTACAGGGTGGGGCAAAGGTAGATTCAGTTCTTTGTGTATAAAACAATGCAATGATTCATAAATTATTATACAAGAGTAAACTCTGTGTTTCACATACTCACAACTGTAAACCTACTGTTGCCCCACCCTGTATATTTTTAAGCAGTTGGTTACATCTTGAACGAACTCATAGATAGGGAAAAGGTTGTAAAGAGGATGGTTGTTACTCCTTTAAAACAGTTACAATATTAAATTTTATTTCATTAACATTTTGGGAATATATACAAGTAGAATCTTACATTAAATTTCAAAGGATAGTTTTAGTATCATGGACTATTCAAATTGGAAATGTCTTTAGAGATCGTTAATTTCCATTCTTCATTCTGCAGCTGAGTTGGTGATTGTCTTGGGAAGGGTAAGGAATTAACCCGCAGTCACACAGTGATATCCTGGCAGACAAGTAGTAAGACCCAGGTCTACTTCTCGTGGTTCTTGGGCTCTTCCAGTATGCCACAGCTTTTTCTCAACTACGCGTGTTAATCTAGAGAAATGGGATGTTTTAATGCAAATGACTGTGTATTTTAAGGTCAGTTATACTATATGGACAAAATAAGAAAGGAGGTGACATTTAGAATATATTATAGAAACCTTTATCAATTTTATATGTACTTTTGTACAAAGACAAAAAATAGTTTTGCTTGTTATAGGCCTAGCCGATGGATGATCATTTCTTCTTGGTGCTGTATTCTTGCCCAGTTAACCAGCTGAAGGCAGAGGTTAACTGCTCTTACTTAGCAGTTTATCCTCAGGGCCTGCAGCTGGCACGTGGGAGGTGCTTTTTATCTATCTAGCTATGTATTTATTTACTTATTTATTTAATCCTCACCCAAGGATATGTTTAATTGTCTTAGAGAGGAAGGGGAGGAGAGAGGGAGACAGATAGACAGACAGACAGACAGACAGACATTGCTGTGGGAGAGAAACACTGATATGAGAAACATACATCCGTTGCCTCCTGTACGTGCCCTGACTGGGGATCGAACCCACAATCTAGGTATGAGCCCTGACTGGGGATCAAACCTGCAACCTTTTCGTGTGTGGGATGATGCTCCAACCAACGAGCCACCTGGCCAGTTCTTTATTATTATTTTAAATGAAAAATGATCTAGAGAAGGTAGGACAAAAAGAAAATCTGAAGATATATTATGTTCTGTTCATTTTGAACAAACCATTAGTGAAGTTAAATGTAGAATTATATTTATTAACTTTAATGAACTTTTATTTGATTATTGTAGAGAAATATAAAGTATTGAAGCAAAGCTAAATTATGTTAGAGAGCCATCTAGTGGTATCCAGGAGAAATATTTTGTAGTGCAATTTTGTTTTTTATTATGTCTGGACTTTTAAGTAGAAATTTTTACAGCCCTGCTTGAATAGCAGTGCATTATAAGATATTTAAATTATTTTGAAAAGGTTTCAAGCAAAGTAAGAGTAATACTCATTTTGCTATTGTTTTTGTGCTGTCGAGGACTTTGGATGCATGATAAAGATTTGTGTTGCAGAAGGTAAGGTGGTCGAGTCCTGTGGGCTTGAACGAATACAGATTACGGTGAGAGACTCCTGTTCAATGTGATACTAGTGACAGAGAAAGATATATACTTACATGATTTTTCCTCTTGCTTCCTTTTGAAGTCAAATAAAGACCAAGTCAAGATAGTCATTACTTTTATAGGCATTTCTTTTAATGAGTCTTGGGCTTTTATTTTGGACCATCAAATGAAAGAGAATTTTTCCCTATTTAAAGAATGGAAGTAGTGATAACTTCAGTAACATGCATTTTCCTTTTTCAGATTATTAAAACTGAACACAGGAACACATAATTCAGAATTGTTAAGGGCAGTGTTTCCAGCTCTGGAAATAGTTATGAAAATGTATCAGGTTACTATGGTCAGGTGTTTTGGAGTCAAGGTCAGCATGAGGCATTGTTTTCTCATTTGTGTCAAATATAAAATACAGACACCCTAATGGTATTTGAAACGATGCGAACTGTCATGTCTGAGGCTGTCACATTTCTCACAAAATTGAAACTTGTACCACAGCAAGTGTGGTTTGTTTGTATGCTCCATATGAAATGACTCAAAGTGTGAGAACCTTTTATGTATCCTCAATTTTTTTTTAAGTTTTCGTTTTGAGAAAATGTTAGTGGTTGATCCCTAAAAGTCAGTCATTTGCTGTGGTTTTACAAATACAATAAAATGTTAAAAATACCATGTTTTAAAACACATTGGCCTCACATAAATGCCCTTGTTTTTCTCAGCAAGCAGAGATGAACTCCATACCAGAAAAGTTAAATTGGACTATGAAGAGGTTGGCGTATGTCAGAAGGAGGTCATAATAACCTGGGACAAGAAGTTACTAAACTGCAGAGGAAAACTCAGATGTGATATGGAAGACATTTATGCTTCTCTTAAAGAAGGTATTCTGGAACCCCTCAGTCTTTTTTTGGAGAAGCTACAGAGATTTTTTTGGTTTGTGCAACTCAGGAATACTGTTGTCTTTGTGCTCTACCTGGAAGAAAAGGAAAGTAATTACCTCTGCCGTCAGTCAGTGGCTTGGTTGGTAAGAAGGGTGCTAATGGAGAGGTTATGCCTGAGGAGCTAGCAAACCCCTTTTCTGCAGACTTCCCTGCCCCCTTCCTCCAGCTGCTCCCAGTGCTGTGTTGTTGTTTACCAGGGAAGGAGTGGATTCATTGGCACAGATCTGTGATCATAGACGTAAAAATAATTCAGACTCACAAACTTGACTCATGTCCATCGTTTGGTCAGAAGAGTTTATTTACATACATGTAAATACATACATGTGTACATACATTCACCTACATGTATGTGTTTGTATGTAAAGTTATATTCTTATTAATCAATCAGTTTTCCTTCCATCTATTTCTATATTTATTTTGGAAGAATTACTTTTATTTAACCATTATACTGCACTATTGTTCTGTCATATAAAATGACTGATATTTAAACATCTTAAATTTAAAACTAAAACTAACATGTGAATACTTTAGGTGCATTTCTGTGGCCCAGATTACATACATTAAGAATCAATCTCCATAGCCTGTGTAAACTGGGTGTCAAATAAAAATTTAAACGTATCCAAAGAAACGTGATAATGAATCTTGTTTTAAAAGCTTATGGTGACATGTGAAACTGTTGCCTGAGTTTAAATTAAGATTAACTTTGTAAGATACTACATTTACAAGCCTAATATATTGGTATTTTTCCTTGAAGATAAGGAAATCCCAAAGATTTTCACTGAATGCCTTATTTGGGAGACAAAGCAGTGGTTTCTAGAATGTGTGTGAGATGCATGACTTTTAAAGATGCTTTAGGGGTGCTCATCTTCCTGTTCCTAACAGGATACAGTGAAAACTTCCGAGCATTGTGTCCAAGGCCCTCCATAGTCTCTCCTTCGCCTTCCTGATCTCACTTTCTGCCTCTTGCTACCTTGTAGCGTGTGCCCCAGAGTGACTGCGTCCCTGTGTGTCCCAGGCTCTTTCCTGCATGGAAGCCTGCAGCCTCCCTACACTCCTTCCTTCCCATGCTCCCTGCTCCCTTTCCCATCTCCCTTTCTCTTCCTCGCATCTCCTTCTCACTGCTCCTTCCCACGCCCCTCAGGGCATCCCCACGTTCCTCCTCCTGAAGCGATTGCTGCCCATTGCTGCCTGGGCTCCCCCCAGTCTAGAGAATCCTCTTTCCTCACAAATCAATGCCTGTCCCTCTCCTACACCAAAAGGAATTAGTTTCGTTTTATTGTTCTTTCTTATGATTCTTTCCCTTTAATTGTGGTTATCATAATTTTGTGTTTGTGTGTGTATTTGTTTAATATTTTTCTTACCCCACCACTGTATACCTAGCATCTAAAACAGTGTCTTGTACAAGTTATTTGCTGAGTGGATGAGTGAATGAATGAATGAATGGGAGTAATTTCCTGAGAATTGATTTCTTCATCTCTTATTGATGAAGTACCCTCAGTGCCATGCTCTGTGCTCACTGCTCAATAAATATTTGTTGAACCGAAGTGAATGACCTTTTGTAAAACTGTTATTGGGTGGATAATAAAACAGCCCACCCCCAGCATCAGTGATTCATTTAATAAGCTGATGGAAATTACCCTCTGAAAAGGACATTTTACATGAGATCACTCATTCATTCATTCAACAGATGTTTAAAGAGCAAGATGCATTCTTGGATTTCATCATACAAAGATGCAAGTATGCTCACTGTTCTCAAGGAGCTTACCATTGATGTGGGGGAAATAGACAAACACACAGTGTGGCGCTGACTGGGACCCAGTACAGCAGTGTGATGAGCAGAGAGAGAGTCACATAGCATGTGGACAGGGGGCGATTACTGCTAGCAATGTCAGGGAGACCTGCAGCGGAAGAATGGCATTCTGTCTCCTCCATAAAAAACAAACAGAAATACACTGGACATTCAAGCTGGGGAGCTTGGCCTTCCCTAAGGCCACAGTGAGAAACTGGGGCTGTGAAAGCAACCTTAAGCTTCTTATACTTAGTGCATAGTGGGGAGTGGGAGGTAATTGAACTGAAAAAGGTGGTTTGGAGGTGTGGGAGGCCTTGTAAATCCTTCCAGAGAGCCTGAGTTACACCTTTTGGACAGGAATACTTTTAGTTTATGCAAACTGTGGCCTTGCAGTCCAAAAAAGATTATTGCTATTAAACCTTCCTTTAACCAGCTGGAATTCAGGAACTTATTACAGATCTAGTCTGTCTGAATTGAAAAAACTTAGTAAAATAAAATGAGCTGCTCTGCAAAGAACTGAATTCTGTCCCTCCCAGTGCTTACTTCCTCCTAGTCTTTGGCGGACAAAGCATGGCTTTAGCATACTTTGAATTGTTTGTGGTACCCTTTGGTTTTCCAGCATAATAAAGTTAAGGCTTTATTATATAGGCTAGGTATTGTCTTCTTAAAGACTAAAGATTGTTCTGTAGCACTCCAGTTATACTTTCATATTGTACTTCTCATTTTTATTATTTCATTCTTCCATAATCACACAAGAATGGTATTTAACTCTCTTTTACAAAGTTACTTGTTTATGACAAATATTTAGAAGTCATAACACAAAGATTGGCATTTGTTACTAGCTTCAAACTAAACAAAAGGTGCACACAGGAAGTATATAATAATACATTTCAGGATATCAGAATTTGGCCTCTGAAACCAGATTTCTCTGGAGTTCTAATTCTGCCACTTGCTAGCTGTGTGAATGTGGGCAAGTTATTTAGCCTCTTTCTGCCTCAGCCTCACCGGCCTCATCTATAAAGTAAGGATAACAGCAATGACCTCTCTCATTGGGTTGTTTTCTGAGCACATTTACCTGCCTAGTAGTGAGGAACCTTCAATAAATATTGCATTGGGTGCTCACTCAGTGTTGACTGATACTGTTAATATCGCCATTATTATCATTGTTATTTGAGGGTTTTCTTTTGCAAGACACCAGCAGCCACAGGATTAAGCCTGTCAGAATGTGCTGTCTGCACACTGTGCTGTCGGCGCATCATTCGGGGGCATTCCGCACGCTGCAGCGGCCTGTTTTCAACCATTTCGTACTTTGCCAGCTATGATGCAGCAGCTTCACTCCAGAGGCCAAGACCTTGCTTTTTTATCTTTGATCGTAGGTGTTCCCAAAAGTCGACGAGGAGAAATCTGGCAGTTCTTAGCTGTGCAATATCGTCTACGGCACCGATTGCCGACTAAGCATCAACCTCCTGACATATCCTATAAAGAACTTCTGAAGCAGCTCACGGCTCAGCAGCATGCTATTCTCGTGGATTTAGGTATGTTTGTCCCGTTGGTTATTGTTCACAAAGGAAACAGTAGGCTCCTTCGTGGAGCTGTTTGTTCGTTCGCCTGTTGCTGTCCAGAAAGAGGATCTGGTGGGCTGTGTCCTTTCTTGAGGGCCAGCTGGCTTTCCGTCTAGTTGAAGATTCCGTGAATGCCTGAGTGTGAAATGAAGTTTTTGTCCCCAAACTTGTCCTGTGAAAAGGGAGTTCCCTTATATGTTAATCGTGATTAAAGGCTGTATTATCAGATACTCTCAGTTCCTATGTTTTAAATAACTGATTTTTGTTTGCGGTAGACAGTCATCTCAATCCATACTGATTTTGAAATAGGTTAGAATTATTTTAAAAAGCTACTAAATTTTTTTAATGAAATATAAAAATTTTTTATACTTTGGTCTCTAAGTATACCTGGACATATTGCTGAAAGCAATCCTTTGAATATAATTTTAAGAAGCAGTGTAGTAAATGATCATGTCGAGGAAGCCATGAGAACGGCCCCACGGCATGACAGGAAGATCACCAGCTGTGATGCTGTATGAGGGGGCGATGGCGACCCGGGGGAGAATTGTCCACTCACACAGCATCACACAGCTATCTCTGTAAATGCTGGACTTCAGATAACTTAAGAAAGTAAAGACAGTGTGATTTTTAAAATATTATTGTATCTAGTTTTTCTCTAAATTAACATAATATGTATTTTATGATTTTAAAATATCAAAATTATTGGATTGAATATTGCACATTTACATTCGCCCACTGCATCTATATCCCTAAAATTGATTTGCTTAAAACACACAGATATGTCACTTGAGCCCATTTGTGAAAACCAAGGGTTACCTTGTACGTGGAGTCACCTGGTATCAGGGCATCTAAAAGGGACTGGCCGAGTGCTTGCTTTGGCAGCACATGTACTAAAATTGGAACAGTGCAGGGAAGATTAGCGTGGCCCCAGCGCAAGGGTGACACGCACATTCGTGAAGTGTTCCATATTAAAAAAAATTACCAGTCAAAACCTAGTTTGGACCTCTCTGTTCCTTTTAGATGACAGCTTTTGCTGGGAGAGGGTCCCAAATAGGTTAATATTTTTGAGCTCAACAGAATTAAAGAGGAGAAAGAAGGGGAAGGGACTAGTCACAGAACATGTATGATGACCCATGGACATGGACGACCGTGTGGGGATGGACTGTGGGGTGGGCTGGGCAGAGAAGGGCAAAACAGGAAACTTGGACAACTGTAATTGAACAACAATTAAAAAAAATTAAAAAATAGATACAAAAGAATTAACAAAGAGAATTTTACAAAGAAACTGAAAACTTCAGCTTTTGTCCTGGCTTTAGGGAAATCACTCTGCTTCTGAGCCCCGACCCTCTCTCTGACATGAAGACTTGGAGGGAGGCGATGCCTGTGTGACTCCGCAGCTCTGCAGCTCTCTGGCCGGAAACCGATGCGGAGCCTAGAAATTGGGATGCTACATTTAGGGCTAGTCAAGCTGTCCCAATGAAGAGAAGGAGATGATGAGATCAGATTGCAGGGACTTATTTATATAATTTATTTATGGGTTTTTTTTAAGCAAAACTTTTAACTGAGAAAGTCAAATAATTTTTAAAAGTGCTTATTTGACTCTGCTTGCAGCCATCTGTGTGTCCTCAGCATGTTCTTAGTATTTTCTTTTATCTTTTCCTTACTTGCTCTGCAGAGTTAATCTTATCATTTCCTGGGGAAGAAAATCACTGTTAAGCATATATGCCGGAAAACATGAAAAAATCTGGAACTCTTACACAAGTTTTAGCTGACTTCAGTGGCCATTTCCCAAGGAAGCTAACAACACCCCCCCCATTCTGCTGGCACGAGGAGGCCTGCACCAGTGTGCACGGCTTGGGTGGGAGACGGGTCTGTTTCCCTGTGTAGTGGCAGCTTTTCAGTGATCCAGGACTGATTGTGGTGCTTGCTGATCTGTGTCTATGGTCATTTTATGCCCAAAGGTGAATTTAGAGGGTAATTTTAAACATGATTTACTTATTTTTAGAGAGGGAAAGGGAGGGAGAAAGAGAGGGAGAGAAACATCATTGTGTGGTTGCCTCTCCTGAGCTGGTGGACCTGGCCTGCAACCCAGGCATGTGCCCTGACTGGGGATTGAACTGGCGACCCTTTGGTTCACAGGCCAGTGCTCAATCCACTGAGCCACACCAGCTGGGAGGAGGGGACTTCTTTTGAAATCACTTTGACCCTTTACTCTCCTTGCCCTTGTGGGATATATTGAAAACAAAGAAGAGGTCTGCATGGCTTATGGAGGTGGTTTAAGAAAGAAAGAGCAAAGGGTATTTAAACAATAAGTATTTCCCGAATGATAGACTGAATATAAAACAAACAAAAAAACCTAAAGTCCCTCCACTGTCATATTATAGGAGAAGCAAGAATAAGTCTGCTTAGGACTACAAAGATTTCTTTTTTTCACAATTTTTTTATTGTTGTTCAAGTACAGTTAGGATTTCTTTTTAAATAATATGATACCTCTCATAGAATTCTTGTTTCAGTTAGCGGGTGGTCTTTATGTGACCTTAGAATTTGCCTTGATTTGTCGTCAGAAGAGATTCTGTATTTTATTCTTTCGAGATCTCTTCTGGATATATCCCTGATTTGTTGGTAGATGTTCTCCCTGGTTAGACATTCCGGTTAGCATAGAACATTTACTTCCCTGTCTTACCTGTACGGTGGTGATCTGGCAGGAGGTGCGGTGGTGATCTGGCAGGTGGGACTGGGACTCAGGAGAGAGACAGACAACAGACTCAGTTGCGTGGGTGCTCCAAGCAACTCACCCTGGTTTGAAAAGGAATCCACGAATGGCAGTTCACTCTGGTCTCCAAGGCGTGGGACACCTCACAAATGTTTCGTTTCCTCTGCAGGGAGGACGTTTCCTACCCACCCCTACTTTTCAGCCCAGCTCGGCGCAGGGCAGCTGTCGCTCTTCAACCTCTTGAAAGCCTACTCGTTGCTGGACAAGGAAGTGGGTTACTGTCAGGGGATCAGCTTTGTGGCGGGAGTCCTGCTTTTGCACATGAGTGAAGAGCAAGCCTTCGAAATGCTGAAATTCCTCATGTATGACCTGGGCTTCCGCAAGCAGTACAGACCCGACATGATGTCGCTACAGGTGAGGCTGTAGATACTCACGAGGAATGCGTAAAGTTGTCTCCAGAAATCTTAGCGCAGCCCTCTTCCAAACTGCGGTGGATTCAAAGAAATTTGGGCCTGTTGGCTTGGAACTTAGGTAAATGGAGAGCACGTTTCAGTCCATGGAATCTGCAGTTTTGCTAAACCTCTGAGTCTATGACATCCATATGCAGAATACTTTTCCATAAGTTCCTGAAGTGAGTAAATAAGCAATTTAGGAAAGGTTGTGCGTACTCACATCTCCATCCCGTAAGACTGCATGTTACGTGGAATGAGTCATCTTTGTTCATTTGTTCTCTACCGGTCAGTTGCAAAGAATCATTGATATGTTGTTTGAAATCTGAATATATGTGTTTATTCTTTTATTTACTCTGAGTGCATAAGTGGCAGATATCTATGTCATGGTCTTCTTGACCATGTCTTCCCTCTCCCTCTTTTATCTCAAGGTCAGACAGGTCCTTATACATTAAAAGTGTTCAAAGTGGGTGGCACTGTTTCAGCTGGCTTTTGTTAGCACGCTCTGAAGAAGCACTGGTAACATTTTTTGGTTAAGTAGGGTATTCGCTGCTCCTGCTATCTCTGACCTATTTCAAACTCCCTGTTTACACATACCTCCTCTTTAACTTAAGCTCCACTTTCCTTAGTGTAGAGGTTTCTAACAAGAAGTTTAAATTTTATGTGTAGATGTGATATCCCAAAGAACTACTACCTTTCAATTTCAAGCTTTTAGTAGTGAAAACATAAAGGAAGACTCTAAAGAGAGGAATGTGCAGGTTCTCCTGCTTTGAAGGGAAGTCGGCATAATACCTAGTTAGTCATACTTTTGTGCTTTATGTAAGAAGTGAAATATTTAAAGATGCTTTTAAAACATACTCTTTTTCCTGGTCCCCAGTGATCAGTTTTCTTATTTAATATTTTAGTTACCAATCCACCGGCCAAAAAGACTGTGTTTTCTCCTTATGAATATTACAGTACATGGGATTTCCTTGGGAGGCTCAGTGGAGAAGGAGTGCTCCATTTTTCTTCATGAAGATGAAATTTTGCAAGGGAGACGGGCTTTGCTCTCAGTGTTTGGTTTCCAGGAGTCAGTCAGTTCACGTGAAGTGCGTTCACCTGGATACATGAACCAGACACACTGATTTGATTCCTAATTCATGACTCTTCATAGGCCTGTAAACATCCCACAAGAGAGACAGTAATGATTATGGAAGGTTTTATTTTTCACTCTATTTCTAAATAATTTACCTGCATCTCGTATCGGACAGGAAGTGTTGGCGCCCTTGTAGGGGATTAAATAGCTCTGATTTCCGGGAACACCAGTTTGGTAGCTATCATTAGAATTTCAGAGAATGGAGAGGACCTGTGAATAGTTGATTTTGGTAGATAAATAGAAGGATAGAACTCTCACTTTAAAAATGCAGTGACTTATTTAAAAAATCTCATCAATCTGACATTAAAAATTCATATCAATTGGATTGGTACTTATACATTAATTTCATATGACTTGCTATTACCAAGAAATATATCTATACTCATGAAAACAAAGATGTGGTACAACTATGGGATATTTATATAATGGAATTCCATTCGGCGGGAAAAAAGAAGAAAATTTTACTCTTTGCAACAATATGGATGGACCTGGAGAATATTACGCTGAGTGAAATAAGCCAGTCAGAGAAAGACAAATACCATATGATCTCACTCGTATGTGGAATCTAATGAACAAACTGAACTAACAAGCAAAACAGAGACAGACTCATAGATAGAGAGCAGGATGACAGCTGGGAGCAGGGGGAGGTTAAGGGGTGGAGGAATTAAACAAGAAGGAAAAAGGACTCGTGGACACAGACAACAGTCTGGTGATTACTGGGGAGAGGGGGGTATAAGGGGAGTAAGTGGTAATGGAAAAAATATAGTAAAGATCATATATTTAAAAAAATAAAATGTAGATGTCTTAAAACCTTTGGTGGTAGCATTCCTATAATAGGCCACATGATAGGGGCCTTATTCTCGGAGAGTAGGTCCTTTTTGCTTTGCAGAGTGAGTGAGATACAACACGTTTCCACTTTCTAGAGGAAGAGGTATTTTTTATCCAATCAGTGTGAATTTCAAAAGTGGAAGCAACAACGGACTTGGGATCACTTGGCGGGGGTTCTGATTATCTGCGCAGTGTGAGCTTGGGCAATGCAGGCTCTGCCTCCTTTACCTGATTTGTTTGTGCGTCTGCTGTTTCCTCTGTTGAGTACACGAGTGTTACATTTTTATGTGGAGCCTTTGGTCCCTGCTTGATTCTGCCTGCTCGTCCCCCACCCGTGGCGTCTGCCCCTGTGCCTCCCCTCTGCCATCCGAAGATGTGCCGTGTTACCTGCGAGGCAGAAGGGAAGAATTATTTATTCTTAGAAAATGGCATTTTATTTTTCAAGCTTCCTTTGAAAGGGCACTAAGTCGTGTTTTTATTTGCCTTGTTCAAAAGAAATTTAATGTAAATATGCCTTGATGGAATGTTTTCCACTTCTAGTTGAGAATGCAGGAAAAAAGTAAGGTCCTTTAAAAAAAAATTGAACATTGAAGTATTGGTTCTGAATTTTGATCGTAACCGAACAAGCACAGAATGCTCTTGATGCTGTGCTTTTTTTCATTCTGCTAATTTAGATTTCTCTGATTTTTGTGCTATCGCAGTACTTTTTATAACTTCTATTGACATAGCTCTGTATGGCTAGTTTAAAAATTGAAAATGGCCTAAGGGAAACAGTTTTTCAATATGCCTTCTTAAGATAATAATTTCATGTTTTAAGTCTGTAGCTAAGTCTCTTATTTTATAGCGACGACATGCTGTGGCTCCTTTCTCTTATGGTTTGCCGTCAAACCTTAGTTTTCAGAGATATGTGTTACAGGTAAAGATCGAACAAATAATTTGCTCTATTTTTATCCAGTATTTTGAGGTTTAGTTTTGTGCTCTGGAAATAACCATTGCTGAATTCACAAAGTGGCTGGATATTTTAATGTATTTTTATAGAGCTAATTACTTAAGGGCGATATTTTGATGGTAACATCTAGTGGAAGAAGTTCTGGTGGATTTTATAAGATATTGTAAACATTTCACACCAAAATGTCAAGCTGACATAACTGATCAAGGAACCACTACTTAATCTCTTACTGCATGGGTGAAAATAGAAATTAAAGCCCAGCTCATAAATTTGTTTATTATTTGCTACTGCTTAGCCTTTAGCTTCCTCAGACATAAGAGTTTAAAAGTTGTTATGTATTATCTTTAATTTTTTTTGAAATTCCAATAATCAACTCAGTAGCTATGTGAAATAATTTCTTCTTTTTAATACTAGAGACATTCAGATTGCACCTTTTGCTTTAATCCCCTTTGTCCTGAGAACTAAGCGCTGGAATACCTTGGGCATTGGGAATCACGTCTCAGACTTCTGGCTCCGAGGCATTCTAGGCCTGACAGTGTCCTCACACTGCAGACTGCCCAGTGGGTCTGGGCCAGAGTATCGTAAATCAGGTGGTGAGCTCAGCGAATAGCTTAGGCTTTGCTTCTGAACTGAATGTGGGACATTCATTAGAATGGAGGCTGTTCTGGGATTGGCTTGAAACTAGAATGGGCCTTCCATAAGCATCCTGACCCAGGAGAGTTGGGATTAAATTCCAAAAGCAATGCCTTCCTACATGAGGAAAAATGACCATTTCTGTATACATGTTAAAACAAAAACACACATTTAGCAAAACTTGCTCAATAATCTTAGATGGCCTTTCTGTGACTTGCTTTTATGACCTAAGTGAACTTGGACTTTAATGTCAACTTTAATGGAACAATAAAAATAAAATAATACTGCTTTTATTTATTGCATGTATGTTATTTTTGTCATTAAATATTAGAGCAATCAAATCAAGGTTTGTGCATTTTATGCACTCTCAGACAAATGCATAATATTTTACTCTCTCCTCTGAATTCACTTCAGATTCAGATGTACCAGCTGTCCAGACTCCTCCACGACTATCACAGAGACCTCTACAACCACCTCGAAGAGAACGAAATCAGCCCCAGTCTCTACGCTGCCCCCTGGTTCCTCACTCTGTTTGCCTCTCAGTTTCCACTAGGATTTGTAGCCAGAGTGTTTGGTAAGAGACGCCTGTGATCAAATGGAACAGGGTTATGTTGTCTCCCAAGGAATATCCTTCTAGCCAATTGTTGTATCATGTGTTATACAGAATAGCAAAGTGCTGGTGGAATTTAATAAATGTGCCTGGCTCTATTCTGAGAGTAGTTGAAAACCGTATTAGTCTTAAAAAATTGATATTACAAGGGAAAGAAGAAAAATTGGGCTCCTGTATTTGAATAAATGATATTGGGGTACTTACTTTCATTTATACCTAAAAATCAGAGTGTACTTTGAAAAAAATCCAAACTAAGTACTTACCCTGTTTAATTTTCCAAATCTTCATACATATCATTTAACCTCTGTTTGTTTTTTATTGTTTTTATTTTCCCCTTCCCCATTGTCCTCTTCAACCTAGATGCAAAATGCAGAGAAACATGTTCTCTGTTGGGATCAGAGGAAGCAGCTATGTCCATGTTATTTCCAATGGCCCCTTAGTCTGACTTTTTGTTGTTAACTAGGTAATGTAAGCCCGTCACTTAAGTGACTCCTCTCTTACACTAGCCGCGGTGGTGCCAGTCCCTCCGACCCGGTGGCTCAGCAAAAAGCCCTGAGCACAGGCCGCGTAGGGCCTGGGCAGGTCCACAGGTCCCTGTCCAGCTCCGTCACAGTGGTGGACACTGGGAAGAAACGGAGGTGTGACGTGATAGACTCCCTTTGGGGCCCTTAAACCTTTCCCCAAGTTAGTTAGATTTGTCTTCAGTTCATTATTTAAGAGGCAACAGTTTTCAATCAACAGCTCTCGAATAGAAGTTTGTCCTACTGCTGTCTGGGGACTTGATGGTCTCAGAGGGGCTCCCACGGTGTTTGTGTTCTGCTCTTCCCTCTGGTGTCCCTGGTGCAAGCAGTCAGCACTTACCACTGTGCTTTTGCTAACCTGATGCTTTTTGTCGAGTGGTATTGGCCCAATTGTAGGTTATTGCCCACGTGAGAAAAAAAATGAAATGACTAGAATACTGTGAAAATATCAGAGAAATTTTGCAAATAATAAAAGAAAGTTATTTTGGGGAAACCAGTTTTTTCAGGCATTTGTGTAATATGTACACCCATACCAGATTACAATGTCCAGTGTCTTCCTTGTTGGGGCCGTGGTTTACAAAGTGAAATGCTGTATCAGCAACCATACACTCTATAGACAGTGAGGCAAAAGAGTAAATTCAAGATGCACGGAATCAAGCATTCATCCAATTTCTCTTCTTTATTGAATGTACATGATTGCTTTTCTCCAGCGAAGCTTTCTCTGGAGCCTGGGTTCTTAGTAACAGGTCCTCTGTAGGTTTTATATATAGTGATGTTACAATGTTTCCTCTCTTTGACTTACCCTTGGAAGCTCCGTATTGCAATTCAGGAAGGAACTCGGTTTTTGCTACGAGAACATGCATGAGTGATGCTGTTGGCTCTGCCATAGCTGCTCGGTCCTTCCCTGTGAGTTCAGTGAAGACCCTCAGGAAGGGGAGCGATGTGTGGGCAAGAGGAGTGACCACGTCTGAGGGCATGGCTGCACAGTTCCCTTTTTTTAAAGACTCCAGAAGGAACCGAATGCTCTTGATGCTGTGCTTGCTTTATGTTCTGCTAATTTGATTTCTCCGGTTTTGTGCTACCAAAGTACTTCAGCATAACTTCTATGGACACGACTTCTATTTCCATAAATAAGTATGTCTAGTTTATAAATTGTAAATGGCCTAAAGGAAATGTATGATTTTTCCCAACATGGCTTGTTAAGATAGCAATCTCCTTTTTTTAAAACCCTTATGTTTGTTTGCCTGTTGCTAAGCTTATTTTATAGCTGTGACTTCCTGTGGCTATTTCTTTCCTTTCACAGTTTGTGTCAAACCTGAGTTCCACACATGTGTGTTATAAAGATCAAACAAGTAATTTGCTCTATTCATATGCAGAACTTTGCATTTCAGTTTTGTGCTGTGGAAAGGACAGTTGCTGAAATCATCGTGTAGCTAGATGCTTTAATGTATTTTTTATAGAGCTAACTATTTAAGGGTGATATTTTAATGAGAACCTTCTAGCAAGAAGAATGCACATCTGTTTGTTTCAGTCATATTTTTTGGTTGTTTTGAAATCTAGGTGATTTTGACCAGTTTTTTTTGTTTTTTTGTTTTTTTTTTGGTAAAATATTTGGTGGTTCCACTGCAGTAATGAAAAACAACAACCACAATAAAAATATATACATAAAAATGATTAGCACCAAGAGCATGCTATTTACAATAGTGAATACATAATTTTAATTATAAAAATTGTATCTCTTTTTTTAGATATTATTTTTCTTCAGGGAACTGAAGTTATATTTAAGGTTGCACTCAGTCTACTGAGCAGCCAAGAGACACTTATAATGGAATGTGAAAACTTTGAAAACATCGTTGAATTTCTTAAAAACACACTACCTGATATGAATACATCTGAGATGGAAAAAATTATCACCCAGGTATGATTTAAATAATAGTAATAAGATATACAGTTATATAACAGTTTATATATTATATATTAATAGATAATTATATATTAAATGTTTCAGCATAAAGATGTAGGTTTGCTTGACAGTTTTTTTTTATTTGATCAGATGTATTTTACTTAGAGATGGGACTGTTGTGAAATTTCTACATTGTACCATTTTCTATGTGGCCATGCACAGGTAAAAGTAGTTCAATGCTACGTAATGAGTTTTCAGGGATCTTTCAGATTAGGCCAATGGTAAGACTGAAGATAGAACTGACAGGGTTAGGAAGACCTAATGAAAGTGAGGCCCACTTATATTTGTACTAGTTAAAATTCTGATTAAAAACATGAGGAGTGCATGAGGCAGGAGCATAGGCTTTGCGATTAGACAGTATGGCACTTGCATCATCTTCTAGCTCTTCTAGTGGTGGTTTGGCTTGCACACCTGCTCTTCGGAAACCTAGTGTTCTCCCCTCCAGAACGCGACAGTGCTGATCCCGGGGTTTTGTGAGGCTTAAATCAGGAGACGTGTAGCAACCGGGGTCCCTTGCGGGAAACAGAGTCTGCCCTTCATGATTCAAATGAAGGTCCGTTTACAGAGTTGTGCACAGTGAGGAGGGAACCAAAAATCATGTCTAGGTGCCCAGGACCTAGTAACAGAGGGAGGATGTTCATACCCACGGTGCTGAGAGGGCAGGGGAGGTGGTCCTCGGGTTACCTGCCCAGCGAGTGCAGGAACTGTGGGGGAGGGGTCTCTGCAGGTTGTCGGTGAGGCAGGCAGACAAAGAGCAAGGAAGAAACACCGACCTTTTCCCCGCCCCCCCCACCTCTGACCTCCTGCAAGCACCTCCCACGGGCCACACCCAACGGAAGCCAATGGGAACTGAAGTGTAGGGAAGTTCGGGGGAGCCAGGTGTGCCGCCAGAGCCCTGAAAAATGGATGAGGGCAGGGAATGGGTCTGGGTCCAGTGCTAGCTGTTCACAGGTCCAGGCAAGTGGGAGTTATGTGTTGATGCTGCTCAGATGACATGAGAAACCTTAGGATCATACCAACAGATAAGGCTGTCATCCTCCGGGAGTATTGACAAAGGTCGCCCCTTTCCTAGAAGCGCTTGGGATGGCAGATAAAAGGCCGAATTTAGAGCAGGACAATGGGGTTTGAGATCTCGCCCTGATGCCCTACCACCCACCACCCACGAGCAGTGTGACTTTGGGCAAGTTTTACGACCTCCCTGAGTTTCAACTTCCTCCCCTCCGAAATGGGAATGACAATTGTGACCCTGCTACTTTCTTATGCTGTTTATAGGAGCAAATGGAGCTGATTAGGTTGAAAATTTTTATATACTGGAATTCGCAAGAGAACATGAAGTCATTATATTATTACATGTAACATTTTCTTTCTGTTATGTAGAATCTAAATCACAAGCAGATTATTCTGTAAATATCTATGAACAGTTTTTTTCTTGCTCAAATGCTTGGTAAGCTGGAAAGTATAGCTTTTTCCACACTTTTATGTATTTATTTATTCTCCAGAAATATCATTTTGGACTGGCAAGCAGTCAGAGACTGTGGTTTTAGAGAGTGGTGATATCTGATTTCAAAATAACAAGGGAATTACCTGCTTTAGAGATTAATATTAGGATTAATGGATAAAATTTACAGGCAGATAGATTTGGACTTGGTTTAGGAAGACTTTTCCAGAAATTAGAGTTGATCAGCCAATGAAAGAACTGTTGATATTAGGCAGATTTTGATAAGCTTTATTTATGGTCACCATAAAAAATGCAAATAATGCAGAAAAGCTCAGAGAAGGAAATAAAAGTAACTACAAATCTTGACACCTCAAGATTAAATTTTTTATGTTTTTCAGTTACAGTTGACATTTAATATTATACAGAGGTATTAGTTTCAGGTATACACCATAGTGGTGAGACATTTATGTAACTTAGCAAGTGATTACCCTGATAAATCTCGTGCCCACCTGGAACCTAACAGTTAGTACAACATTATTGACTGTATTTTCTACTTTACGACCCTGTGACTGTTTTGTAACTACCAATTTGTACTTCTTATTCCCTTCACCTTTGACGTCTGGAAATTTAAAAACTTTTCAACTTCCTTTCACTCATCTCTCTTTGCTTATGTACATGTATAACTGTGGATATATTTTAACATAAGTGAAATCATACCATACATGCTCTTGTGTAACCTGATTTTTTAATTAAAATCTTTGTAGAGTATTAGACATTTTTATGCCAATGCATATAGATCCATACCATCATCGTAACGGTTGTGTAATAGTCTATTGTGCCCGTACACTCGAGTAGGGGGAAAGTGGTATGTATTCGGGAGGTATAGCGAGGTTGTCTAGAAATCTCATTTAAATTCTAGGATTTGAGTATATCTCATTACAGTAGGGTAAGTCAGGGTCTTTGTGGGAACTCACGAGCAGGACAGAGACAGACTCAGGGAGCAGGCTGACAGCTCTGGGGTGGGGGTAGTTTGTGGGTGGAGGGATTGAGCGAAAAGGGAAAAGGACTCATGGACATGGACACAGTGTGGTGATTGTAGGGTGCTGGAGGTATAAGTGGGATATAAATGGTAATGAAAAAATACAATAAAAATAAATTAAAAAATAAAATAGATACAATATTTGATAAGATTCAGTTTGATTTCAGTAACCTAATCTTTTGGTTTCTTTTCTTCATCAAAGCTGCTATTATTATTTTTTCTTTTAAGTTAATATGAAGGAAAGTGTTTTTCTCTCCGACCTTCTCTGTGTACTTGATTGTCAACTGTGTTTAGAGTGGACACCATTGTTTACATGACAGTGGCTGCCTCCCCTCCCCTCACAAGTGAAACATTAGCTACTCTGTAAATGCTACATTTCCTGTCTTTCTATTACAGCGGAGGCAGCCCACAGCTCGGGGTGTGCAATTCCGAGGATTCTCTGTGGGTAGAACATGTAGGTGTCTCCTCAGAGGCTCATATGGATTAGCAAATGGATCAAAATGTTTAGGATAAGACCTTTCTGCCCCACTGACAAATAATTAGAGGGGTTTGGGGTTTCATTACTATAGAAATACCCAGTGCAGTTTTGCTTACTAGTCAGCACAGAGGATCTCTAACAAACATAGGACTCACTCAGTAACTAATGTTGTTTATCTGGTTGCTGCATTTGGGGAGATGGTTATCAGATTATGTGTACTTTGGTTACAAAATACCTTTGAACGTTAACTTATTGTAGTGTCTTGGCCTCATTAGGAGAATATCTCATCATGTATCAATAATCTATTTGTCCTTACATCGATAGTCACACTTGTTATTCTTCCTCTCGGTATGTCTGTTGCTCATTAATAAGGCTTTGGAAATCTCTATGAAATACAGCCGATACACCAACTGCCTCTTTGTATACATACTGAAGACTAGACTAACCTGTGGCGTTTTCGTGCAGGTTTTGGAGATGGATATTTCTAAGCAGCTACATGCCTATGAGGTAGAGTATCATGTGCTGCAGGATGAGCTTCAGGAATCTTCAAACGCCTGCGAGTACAGTGAGCCTATGGAGAAGCTGGAGAGGGCCAATAGCCATCTGAAAAGACAAAATATGGACCTCCTTGAAAAACTACAGGTAAAGAGACAAAGATTTGACTGAAAGAGTGCTTGAATGCCTGCTGCCTGTCCAGAGCTCTCCCGGGAATGCTTGGGGTGTGACGTGGATTGAACCATTGCTCCCCACGGTCCACCATGTGTCAGGCTGTGCCCAAGTGCTGTGGGGCTACAGGCACACACATCAATCTAAATGTCGCTTGGGAGAGGAAATGCACACTCACAAAATAGTGAACTGGCAATTCAAAGTAGAATCTGGTTAAATAGCTAAAGTGGGTTGCACATACAGGGTGGGGCAAAAGTAGGTTTGCAGTTGTTTGCATGGAAAATAATACAAGAAACAATAATACAAGGATCAACTCTGTTTTGGTGCTCACAGTGGTAAACTTTTGCCACAGCCTGTATTTTGTTAGATTCCAGGAAGGAGGGGTTGCATATGGGGAAGGGGGAGTGCGCTGGGGAACTTGGGCTTGAGCTGACTCCTAGAGGTTGGTGCAAGAAAGGAGTGAGGAGTGGGAGGGGGTCGGTACAAATCAGGGGGCCATGGCCTAGCAGCTGGGTAAGCTTGGTGTCGGTTCACAATTTGTGTCGGGGAGTGATGGGATAAATGCAACAGAGGCAGAACTGTAGACAGCTCTCAATGTGAAGCAGAAGAGCTGTGATCCTGTTGAAAGGGAAGTATTTCCAAGTGTTTGAGCCAGGCTTTAGAAAGACCAGTCTGGAAACTTAGATGAGGGCAGAGGAGAATGGGGAGAGAAGGTAGGGAGACCAGCTAGAAATCACTTGCATAAATCCGATTGGGGATGATGAGAGAAAAACTCTCAGAAATGGAAAGAAAAGGAGACATGTTTGAGAGAATGGAATGCAAGCGTGTAATACACAATCCCTGCCATTAAGTTTACAATTACTAGGGATATAAAACATTATATGTTTATTTATAAATAAAGGCACACTTACAAGTACAATAAGCAATTTAATAAAGATTACTGTTTCACACCTGCAAATTATATAAGGTGTGCTGTGTATTCCAAGCCCCGAGGGTGGGAGGCGGAGGTTAGAAGGTGAACCTGCTGGGAGGACTGGGGGAAGAGATCTGAGTTAGATCTTCAGGTCCCCTTGGTTCCTGCTCATCCCTCCCTCACTTCCCAGCCCTGCACCTGCTCCCGAACTAGAAAACACAACAGCCGGAGTCCAGGTGGCAAATCCTCTGGCCCGATTAGGAGACAAATAGCTCAGAAATCAGGGAGCTCCAGAGTAAGTGCTCACCAGGAAGAGGAACAGTAACTTTCTTACCTTCATCTTACATTCGCTCTGGCCCATAGAAAGTGTTATGCCTTCTCTTATTAAAAAAAAAAAAGAAAAAAGAAAAGAGCCAATGTTTGTTTTCAAAAACAAAAAATAAACAGTTGGGATGTTGTTCATCATTACATGGATATTTCAGTGGCGGTTAACACAGTACTTCCTTACTAGGGAGGTGTGTTTGAACCTGCTTTATATTATAATGATTTTTATTAGTGGTTACAAACTTTTTCCATTGACAGTTCAATGTTGTCATCCTGTCTGGGTTCCCAAGTTACAGGGTTACCCCTGACACCCCCCGAAACCTGACAGGATCCTAATTATGTGTTTAGAAAACCCTGCATCTCCATTTAGAGGTAGGAAGCCCCCTTGTGCACCTCCAGGCAGAGTCGGGAATCTCCTGGAGAGATTCCCATACCGGATCTTCTGCACCGGATCCGTGCTCTCCAGGGAGCACAGGTGTGTGGAGGGAGGACCCTCGCCGCCCTGGGGCAATGAGTTAATGCTGCATTTTGGTGTGTTCAGTGAAGCGAGGGGTATTTTGTTAGTACTGTAGTTACATGTTTGAGAAACCTATAAATCTCCATTTCATGGAAGGTTTCAGAGTATTCATTTCACATATTATTAAGTCATATGATATGATTGCTTATTAATACATGTAAGGTCTGGCTGTTGCTACTGTTGAGAGCCATAGTCTTCAAATTTTTGATTTGGAGGATTTTTGTCCCCCACCCCCGTCTCCAACAGGTAGCTCATGCTAAAATCCAGACGTTGGAATCCAACCTGGAAAACCTTTTGACCAGAGAGACCAAAATGAAATCTTTAATCCGGACCCTGGAGCAGGAGAAAATGGCTTACCAGAAGGCGGTGGAGCAAATCCGCAAGCTCCTGCCTGCCGACGCTCTGGCGGACTGCGAGTCGCTGCTGAGAGAGATGACCTGCATCCCCAACAACAAAGCCAAGACGGGGAGCAAGGCCTAACAGAGGCGGCGGAGGTGGAGTGGAGCTGGCGTTGCCCCGCAGAACGCGCCCCGGCACCCCCTGGAGGAGAGGACCTGAATGCCGCGGCCGGGCCTGGTGCTGAGTCCTCGGCCGGCCGGGCGCCCGCTCTCTGTAGAGTTTGCCAATCCTAAGCCATTGTACACAGACAGACTAGCTTTTGTTATTGCTGTTGACTATGTACAGATATAAAATGGACATTAAGAATTCATGCTGTCGGATAAAAAGAGTAAATGCAGATTTAGAGCAATTTTTTAAAAGAAAAACTTCGTGAAATCCACACCAAAGGGAAGCGAACGTGAAATGTCCCTTAACACATGTGAAATCATTTCATCTTTGTCATGAAACAAAGCTAGAGAATCTTTATATATTGAAATACACTTGACAAAAATGAATGTATTTTTCTTCTCCAAAGAGCAGCATGTTTCACTCAACAGCAGAGAGGGGGGAACATTTGTGTAAATTTGTGTGTGTCTGTCTGAAAACGCATTGACCTTGTATGTCCGAGGAACACGACTGGTGGTCAGTGCTGCCTCTGAGGTCCTTTCGGGAAGGTGGGGGCCTTCTGCCCCCACCTGCTCTGTGCCAGCTGGCGTGGGTGTCTGCATGCATGTGGAAAAGCTAGACATTGTGGCTGCGTCTACCCACCCAGTTCAAGGTGAAAGAGAATGTTGCTAATTCTGTAGCAAATTAGACCAGCATTGTAATTCAACATCAGGCCTCAGAATATTCATTTAGGACCTAAATTGTCCCGTTCAGGGTTTTCCCTTTTTATTTAAATTACTCCTACATTCACCTCCCCTTTATTTGGTGCCACAGTTGGTGGCAAGGATTTGCCATTTTCCCACCAAAATGTGGGAGTTCTTACTTTTCTCTACCGTAAATGAAGGATGAGGGAATGCAATTATGATAAACTTTTTAAAGATGATATATATGCTGTGATCGGATACTTTTTTGGGACAGGTGATGGACTGTGATAAGCTCACAACCATCTCCCCCTTCAATGTGAACGTTTCTGAGAACTGTGAAATGTCGGAAACACACGGTTGGAATTTGCTGGAAGGGAAGGGGAAAGTGGCGCCAGGCCCTTCTCGTGCATGCGTCTCTGAGTTCGCCCCCGCCAGCTGTCTCGACCGCAGGCAGCGTGTTTGTTGGAGGACTCTCTCACCTGCCAGGTGTATGGAAGTAATGTTCACGGCGCGCATGCACGTCTCCACGTCAGAGATGGCTCTGGGATGGTGCCTCCGGAAGCTGGTGCAGCGTTTCTGCCTTTCCAAAACGATATTTGTCATCACTGCTTTGTGCAGTACTTACGTCAGCACAGGTGGATCCTCTGGGATAATCTTCTCCGAAGGGAGCTTGTTTTACACAAGCTAGGCTGCATTGCAGAGAGGAGTCGAGCTTTAAAGGTTTTGGAAAATCCTGATGAACAGATGATAAACATCCGCTGTCTCCCTCCGCGCCATTATTTGGTGTGATTGTAATGGTTCTTGCTACAAATCAACGGGCCCTCGAATCCAGGCACTTTGTTAAACGAAAATGAAGTCTTGTTAGTCAAGTTAATGTAATTTCTAGGTTCTAGAAAATGCCGATTCTAGGTGCCCCATTCAGTTGGGGCCACCACCTGATCTGTTGCTTGGTTATCTCTGGAATGTCTCTATTTGTAGGAGAAGTTTATTTTTATTTTTTCTTGTGATGAAAATTACCTGACGTGTGTGATGCACAGGTGGTAGCCAAGGAATCTTCAAGTTGGGAAAAGAAACTTTCAGTTCAGTTTGAAGTTAATTTTATTCTGGCTGTTCAAGGCAATGTTATGAGTTGTATTATGGAGTTGACAGGTTGAGGTGTCTTGGATATAATAACTTCTTTTGAAAATGAATTTCCTTTTCTTTCCTGATTTTGTAAATGTTGCATCAGTTATGCTTCATGCATTGTTACATCTTCATGGGGTATATGTAATGTCTAGTTCATTTCCAATAAATACATTGCTACAGTTTCCTTGGCTTGCTTGTTTTACTTTTGTTCTAATACGAGAGAAGAAGTGCTTTGTGGTTAGAGGGCTTTGCAAAATCTGCATGAGTTGCATTGTTGCTACTTAAAATTGGTTCACTGATAATTCTTTTTAATACAATCAGAGACAACAAAGATCATTTTTAGAAACATTTCTGAAAGTACCTTTTCGGTTACCAATTTTGAACTTCTTTCCAACGGAGACTTTGCCTGATAAAAAGACAACCACACTGACAGATTTGCATTGTACCCTTTTTCTTGTCTATCCCCCCCCCCTTGCAAATAGCAAGAGAGAGAGAAAAACAGCATATTTTTAAATTGGGTTAGCTCCCAAATAAGAATTAAAGGCACTTATTTGGTGGCTATGATACAGATGTGTTTACATAAAATATATCTTCAGAATATTCCTAGGTATGTTTGTAATCTAATAAAAGGACACATCTTCTTGCTAAGTGTAGGATTAAAGCTTTTAAGTATTTTGCACTACATATAGTAATTAAACATTTTGAGCATCAATGTAGGCTTGTGTAGTATGGTCTCTTAATATCCATGCTGACTTAATGCATTTCGTCACCATTTCACCATTCCTGGCCGCCCCCCCGCCCTGGCTAGATTAAGACCAGGAAATCCGTCCTCCGAAGTATCTAGTCCTCTACCACAGTCTGTTGAAATGAATGATAAATCAGACTTACCTGTCTCATTGCAGGTGTTTGTGTGTGTCTAAAAACAAAAACTGTGTGATTTGACTGAATTAGAATCTATTTCAAGATTTCTATGGACATGTAAGGTGTATGGTAGAAAATGCCTTGCTTAGTGGAGAAAGGAAGGACTTCCAGGTTAGAATGGGGGATTTCTGAGATTATGTCTGCACTTAGCATCATACTGACTGGAAAGACTTGATGAGTGCATGGAAGACATTTCAATATTTTGGAGCACTGGTATCTGGTAATTGAACAGTATGATTTTAAAAATCCTGGGCCATTTTCCCTTGACAGAATGATAATAGACTAGCTGGGAAATGAGCTTCCTTTTTATTGGGAGAATAAAAGATGGACAATGACTTACTGACACTCTAACTTTGGTATGAATATCACTTAAATAAAAGTCACTTCAAAATATTTTATAGATGTATTTGGTTCTCTGGCACCTAATTTTTCTTTACCTCAGAGTTGCATCTCCCCTTGTAATTTAGGAGAATTTTAGTTATTAGTTAGACACATGCATTTTGTAATCTAGGATTACTGTCTGTAGAACTCAAATTTGGAATCACTACCTCATTTTTTATTAATAATTGCATTGTCAGAACTTTGAGTAGGAGGAATAATCAATTGATCAGTGATTTGAAAAGCACAGACTAACCACAGATGTGTCTGAAAATTGCGTCATTTAATTAAAGCTGATTCGTACAGTAGTCCCTGAACACCCAGCGTGCACCTTAGATTGGGGAGATAGGCCGGACGAACATCTCCATTTTGGCTCGATGAGCTCCGTCATCAGATAGGCTTGAAGTTTCAATTGTGTATCAATGAGGACACAATTTGTTGTTTTCAGGAGGGCAGGCAGGAAAGCAAGAGAACCTTTCTTAAAACTTTATTTTTTATTGTTGACACTATTACCAATGTCCCCATATCCCCTCACCTTTTCCATCTCTCCCCTAGCTCCGACACCTTGCCTCTGGCCATGCCCACACTGTTGTTTGTGTCTCTGAGTTGTGCATACATGTTCTTTGGCTAATCCCTTCACCTTCTTCCAGTCCCCCTCTCCCTCCTCCCCTCTGACAGCTGTCAGTCTGTTCCATGTATCCATGCCTCTGTTTCTAATGTGTCTGTCGGTTTACTTTTATTATATTCTGCATGTAAGTAGAATCATATGGTATTTGTCTTTCTCTGATTGGCTTATTTCACTTAGCTTCAAATCCATCCATGCCGTCACAAAGGGTAAGAGTTCCTTCTTTTTACAGCCGTGTAGTATTCCGCTGTGTTTATCCGCTCGTCTACTGATGGACATTGTGCTGTTTCCAGGTCTTGGCTATTGTAGACGCTGCTGTGAAAATTTTAAGTGAGCCTACAAATGTCAGAAGAGAAACATGAGTCTGTGTGTGTTGGGGGGGTTGGGTGAAAGGAGGAAGTCAGAAAGATGTAAGGACTATTAGCCAGACTCTGACATTCCTTGATGAGCTGCTCTTCAAAACACTACCTCTGTGGTGACTAATTCAGCCTAATGCAGCTCGTGAACCTAAGATTTCCTGACTACCAACAAAACTGGAGTTTTGTATGCCCAGGGAGGAAGACCCCTTAAAACAATAGGGTGTTTCCTAAAGGACCTTGTCAGAGAGAGTGCTTAGAAGGGCCTAGTAGGTGGGCAGCCACAGGGCCCCATCCACCACTTTAGCTTTCAGATGACCACTCAGCAGCAGTCATGACTGATCTCAGCCACCGAGATTTGCACTTGACTTCAAACCTAGGAAACCCAAGGCATGCATTAGGAGCATGGCTGTTAAGATTTTAATCAATTCATTCCAATTCTGTTGGCTTCAGTCTTTCTACTCTGACTGTTGAAGTCTTCACCATTGGCCAGTCTCCTCTGGAGGGTTTAGTCCTCAGCTGGGCTGGTGATTTGGGGCTTGTTTCTCCCTTAAATGTATGTGGCTGAATCATGAATGGGAAACACAATCTTGAAACAGGTTTGCATCTAGATTTTAAAAAGATTAATTAGCTTTTTGATTTAATCTTTGCGTATTTTTTTTCCATTACCATGTAGTCCCCTCATCCCCCTTTCCCCTCCAGCAATCACCACACTGTTGTCCATACCTGAAGTGCACAGGGATTTATTCAATCCTGGATCAGTATATTGAGTGTTATTACTGAGTTTTACACTAGATGGCACTATTGTTTCAATTTATTTGCATTGTTCTTCACTTTCTTTGGAATGGGCTTCATGGGACCGCAAGCTACTTAAAAAAAGTAGTTTACCATTCTGCTTCCAGGTAAAGTATCTCCAATATACGAAGTCTAGCTTATTTCGAAATGCCTTTGGGGGAAAGCACTTAAACCTCCTTTTGTAACATCCCTAAAACTTGATTCTCTTTATTGTCAAGGAATTTTTATATCAAACTTATATTTTTAATACTGCTGATTAAACACATTTCTTCCTCTGTTCTCAATGGAGATGAAGAAAAACAGATCATCTTATATATAAAAATCTTTCATATATAGAAGACCCATATAAAATTGCTTTTCATCTTTTTTCCTTTAAGGCAAAAATAATATAATTTTTAAAAAGTTTTCATCACATTTCTTGGGATTCATGCTGCTTATTTTTTGATGAGAGCTGGAATCCAAAATGTTCCGAGGACTCTGGGTTTCTGTGCATGGCTGACTCACTGGTTTTCCAAAGTTTCAGCGATAGGACCTAATGATAGTTTCTTGGGTTCCCAGACAAACACAGAGAATAAAGCTAGCATTGGTTTAAGTCACCGCATTTTCTTCTGATGTCGCTCAGAGAGACCAGAGTGGACAGGTGGTCTCCAGCTGTGACTTGTCCTGACCAAACCGTCTTTGAATGCGCCCTGCCCTTTCCCACCTTCGACCTGGTTACTTCCTCCTGCAGGATTGCCGCAACATCCGCACCCCATCTCCTTCGTCTTGCCTGCCTCCCACACACCTTCACTCGCAGGCTAGATGCTGTTTCCTCAGGCGGCACCCCCGGAGCCTACTGGCCAGCACCTGCTGCCCTGCAGACACGGTGCGTGTCCCAGAATAGTGTCCCTTAACGTCTTGCCCTTCTTTTCTATAGAGTTTTGCACACGTGTAGCAATATAATTACTCGTGCACACCTGTTTTGATGTCTTTTTCCTCTATTAGCCTCTATTAAATTAGGGCTAAGGCCCATTCCCTGTCCCCACGAAGTCCCAGCACTTTTACTGGGGATATAGCAGGCACATGGTGTGAACTTGGTCGGCCTGGTTTAACAAATAGACTAATTTCTGACTGACTTTGCATCCTCTCCTTTCCTTAGTAGGGCCATTATCAGGAGATAGACAGGGGCAGGGCTTATTCAGAAGTCTGAAAACAAGGCCAGGGATGCAGATGGGGAGGAAGAGAGGGGTACACACCTGTCTGATACATAAGGGAAAGCCAGGTTTTCAATTTAGTGCTGTGGGCAATTAAAACCACTGATGGGTCTTTGGAGGGGGATAGGATACAATCAGGTGGTTACAATTCACCAGGAATGCTGAGTGGTCCCTGAGGACAAAGGCTGTTGGTGCTGACAATTGTGCTGATAATCTTGACACTGAGACTGCTCTTCTTGGCGGATTATAATTTCATCCCCAGCTGGTATTTCGGAGATTATTTCACCCTGCTTTAGAAACCTTTCGCACAGATGTGGATGACAACAATGATGCTGATAGTAACAACGTAGCTAACCCCGGTTGGGCGCTCCTGGCGCACCACGCCCTGGGCCCCCCACCTGGGAGCGTTCCCTCCCTGGTCCACATTAGCGCGCACAGCCGTCCTCACCTGGGGCGCTTTCCTCGTGAAGTCCAGTCACAGCTCCTTTAAGTGCTCTTCCCATTATTGAGCTTCACAGATGTTGCGTGTTTACAAATTGAAGGCGAGACCCTTCACTATAAAAAAGGATTACGACTCACTTTATCGCGGTACTTGCCTAATTGCCGTGGCCTGGAGCCGAACCCCCAGTGTCTCCTGCAGCGTCTCCCAGGTACGCCCGTCCTGACCGGTGGGTTCCACTCGCAGGGTTTCCGGTTCGGAAGGTGTGGGTGAGGCTGATAACTTTTGTGTTTCTGGCAATATCCTAGGTGAGGCTGGTGCTGCCGGTTCGGGGATACACTTCCACAGCCACGGCGTTGTATCACTTAATCAAGGGACTCTCAAAGGTAAGCACGACTATCATTTCCTTTTTACAGACGAGGAGACGGAAGCTGTCTCTTGAACTTGACTGCTCATCTCCTTGAAACACTTAAAA